ATGCTACACAATTGGCTAGAGAAAGGAAGGAGAGAACAAGTGAAGTGAATCACTTCTTTTTAATATTTACTGAGTGGGCAGATTTTTCTCCCTTAGTGGCCGGAAGGCAGATTCTTTCCTCATCCCAAAGTGCCAAGTCATTCAGCACTGAGCCAGAACATTTAGCCTAACAGAAAATTTTAGATACATTTTTCCCCGTAAGGGGCCTTCCCAGGATATCACATATGACACATAAAAGGGCCTGGCACCAAAGTATGCTCCATGGGGTTTGTGCTACAGAAAGCCAATGTGTATGACATACAAGTCAATAATGAAATGTCCAACAGTAGGCAGTTTCTGTTGGGAAGATGCTACCTAGATCAAACTTGGATGTTCTGACCTTGGAGTCAAAAAAATGGGTTGAAGTCCCACCTCAGATACTTATTTTCCAAGTGACTGTGGGCAAGTCATGAAACATTTCAGAGATTCACTTTCCCCATTTATCAAAGAGAGATAGTATTAATTGCATAATCTACCTCATAGATTTGTTGTTAAGAAAGAGCTTTGTAAAACCTAAAGCATCCTTAAAAAAAGGCAAATTGTCGTTATCACTGGAATGAAGCTGTGAAGGCTTAGTTAACACTACTGTGGAGGGGCCTGACTATGAGGCTGGTGATCTTCCCCTTTTAGTTTCTATCCATGTAGAAAAATTAAAAAAAAAAACTATTTAGACATAAAGGAGGATGATCTGGAAAGTCAAGCAAAGCTCTGAGCATAGCAGAAATTAGTAGTAGATAGAATTTCTTCCTGGGGAGAGATATATAACCTTTAAGTGCAATGGAAGTTACAGGATTGGGACTTTAACTATAAGTGAAGCCAGAGCCAAGTTACTGACAAATCTAGGGCTTTGAATATCAAATTATTTAAATGAAAGAAGAAAATACAAATAATGATAAGGCTGTGTTTTTATTGATAACTATGAGCTTATAGGTAATTAGCATACTTGGAGTAGAGTTAAAGAAAAACTATGTGCACTGAGGGACATGAGAAGAATCAGGTACTTTGGATACTAACCTGTTCTGAAGTTCCAAAGTCATCCCATGAGAGGATTAATTTAAGATGATTCCAAAAACATTAAAAATAAAAATAAAATGGGTTTTCCCCAACCCTGGAGTAAACCAGGGGTAGATTAAATAATAAATAATAATTGCCAAGAATATGTGAGAGAAGTATCAAATTATATCTAGTCTTTTTTGTTTTGTTTTGTTTTGTTTTTTTAATAATGATTGCATCAGGCCTCAGAGCCTTCTATTTGAGATCCACAGCACATAAGAGTTACACCTTGCAGTCTACACAGGAAAACAAAACAAAACCAATAAAGTGAATAAATGAGCATCTCTTATCCAGGATAATTTAATGGTCAGCATCTTAAGCTGGTACAATAAATATATTTCTTTCAGATACTAAAGAAAGACAGTGATCTGTATGCTAAATTGTATATGAAAAAACAAAGTGTAATGTATTACATTTGGAATATTGGTTATTGCTTTCAATAATCTCAAATATCCCTGAAGCAAAAATGTATCTCTTTAATCATACACAAAATTTCAATGATGCAACATTACTGAAAATTATAAAAGATCACAATATGTTAGGAATAAAAATTGTAGTTTATCTATAGGACATTAGAGAGAAGTATGCTTATCATCAGTAAAGTGGAGAATATAACCTATGTGAGTATACAACCAACAAATGGGAAAAAAAGATATAATATAGAAGATGATGAGTTCTTAGAATTAGAAGGGACGTGATTTATATTTAGAAAGATTTCAGATTTAGGAAGGCCATCCAAATCTGTATAAAATCCCATTTTGACATATTCAATAAATTACTGTCCAGTCTTTACTTGAAGACCTCCAGTAATGATGAAACACTACCTCCTAAAGCAGTCTATTCCACACTAGAGCAGCTATAAATCCTTTGTTAAAGCTTGGAAGCAGTAAAACAAATATAATCTTTCCTCTATAGAACAAACTCTCAAATACATAAATACACATCATTTCCCTAGTCACCCTCAAAGTCTTTCATTTGTCAGGCTAAACATCCCTTACTTTCTTCAACCACTTCTCATGACAGGATCTCGAGGCCTTTTGCCATCCTGATTGCACTCCTTTGAGTTCCTTTTGGCTTATTATCATCATCTTTTCTACCACATGATATAAAGAACAGAACAATTCGCAACAAATACACTCTTACCAAGGTAGAATACAGTGGGATTATACCTTCTATAGCGCTGGAAACCACGCCTCTCAATGGTGGCTAAGATTAAATTAGCTTTCTTGGTTACACATGCTTGATTTACTGAGCTTACAATACACTAAAACCTCATACAAAACTTTTCCCAAAGAACAGTTGGCTAGATATTCCAGGCCCAGATACTTATGAGAATGATTTTCTGAACCTGAAGGTAAAACTTCATAGTTATCATTCTTAAATTTCATCCTATTAGATTTGATCTACTATTTCATCCTGTCATACAATTTGTTAGTCATCTTTTCCAAATTGATATTACTTTCAGATTTGATAAGCATGGCATTGATGTTGTCATTCTAGTCAATGATACAGCTATTAAATAGCACAGAACTGGCACAGATCTTATAGAAAGCTTTGTAGCTCTCTTGTGTTTGAAGAGCTTGTGCCAAATCTACAAAACTGATGATTTTGGACGAGCCACTTCAATTCTGAACTTCAACTTAACAGTAATTGTCATTTATGTTTTGGTTAAAGCTTTGTAGATCTCATCTGGACTTCACAACAATCTTGTGAATGCCAATCTAGGTATTATTATATCAATTTTTACAGATGAGGAAACTGAGGTCAAGTGACATGCCAAGGTCATATTTAGTGAGTATAAGAGGCCTCTTTGAGCCCCAAGTCCAGAGCTCCTGGAATTATATTACTATGTTAATTGCCAAATGGGAAGTTAACACCTTCCTTGTTGATGGGAAGATATAGTAAGGTTATCAATGTACATGTATCTTGAAAAGTTAAAATTACCATAAAATGTAAATATTGTGTGGATCAGCAACAGCTAATCTTATATCTAGGATGATTTGGGCAGAATCTTTTCTTCCAGATGGCAGGAATAAATGTTTTGATGAAACACTTCACAGACAACATCTTGTTCATATGTGAGGAAATATATAGGCACAAGTTAATTCTTTCCCAAGCTGTTTCTTTGCGATCCTATAGATACAGTGTGGGTAACTCTGAATTCACAGTAGTAGCAAGGGAAAGAGATGGATGATCTCGGCAGCATTAGGATTTTGTTCCCAAGGAAGGGCAAAGATAATGGAAACAACCAATAAAGAGTTGTAGAAAAATGAGCATGATGCTGCTGCAATGAAAACCATTACCCTGCTCTGCATGGAGCATGTCAATATTTAGCCATTTGTTCAGTGGCTTTGACTTGATTTAGACATTTTACATAAATAGAGATAGCTATCTATAATATGTGAGACTATCACATATGTGATATAGTGTGACACAGGATCCTGTCTTAGGTAAAGGCAGACTATAAGTTCATCTTGGGTTTGTCAAAAGTTTATGGGTTCAGTAAAGTCTGGGATTTCAAAAGGCTAGAGAATTTGACCCAGAATGAAGGAGCTCTAAAAAAGCTATAGTAGTCTTGAGAAGATAATAGCTCTCCTGAAAATCTGGCCATCTCTTTCCCATCATTGATACTTGAGCTGATCTATCCTCGCATCCACATGAACTAAAATAAAAATGGGAAAGGAATGATTTATGGGATTCCCATTTCATCAGGACCACTTCTCCCTCTTACCTGATTCACATTCAGTGAATGAAATATAACTAAGGATATTTAAAAATGAATATGAGACATGACCATTATCAAAAGTGTTGTCAGATTCTCAGTCTTAATCCAAGTGTACACGAATGGTTATGTGTATAAGTATATGGTCAACTCAGTCATAACTGGTAGATATCTTTTTTAAAAAAAAAATTCCCTACTGCTTTTATATCCAGCTAAAAAGACCTAGCCCTCCTACATAGAGGGGCATGCTTATAGGATGTTTCTTGCCAGCAAACAGAAATCACAATGGTATTTGAGACAGTAACCTAAGTAAGAGCCAAATTCATTTAATGTTCAACTGCCAGTCTGATGAAATGTTAATATTTCATGTAATTTTACACTGCCCTTATGGTGTCTCAGTACTAAAGATGATTTTACCTTGTTTGATTAACAACACTACTGCAGCAAGTGTAACATGGCATGAGCATAATCATGCCAGATCAACTATTTTCACAGGGGAATGAAGTAACAGCCTGTTGTGATAGAAATAGAAATGCTTATTTCTCTTCTATTTAATCAGAAAATCTATCTTTCTGCTAAAATGTATACAATGATAATTTTTACTTGATTCTTCATGTTTAGGACTCAAGTTATGTGATGAAGAGTAATTAATGGCCCAATGAAAGATAGGTATTTCCAAAAATCTAATGAAAGAATTCCTTAGGCGTATTACAGGTGCTGAAAGGATTACTTTCCCGAAATAGAAAATATGTCAGAATCTGGCCCTAGAGAAATAGTCTTTATATAATTTGGTATAAAGTAAGTCCATCACAGGACTAAGCCCCTCAAGGTACAACAAAGGCCTCATTATTAGTTGGATTGACATAGAAGACTGTAACAAAGTATTAAACACCTTGAGGATAGCACAAATCTACTCTGTCTAAAATGACTTACAACTTATTTTAAAAATCAGTATGAGAAATATCCAAACAGGCCTACTATCAAAGAACATAGGACTTTTAAAAAATATTAAGCTGTCTCATCTATATGAAATTTTAGATAAAAAAATCTGTTACCTATTACCATCTGGTCAACAGATAACAACAGGTATGATGAAACACCATTCAAATTACTCCTTGATGATTCAATGAAATGTTGCATTTGGCAATGGGTTAAATAATTAGATAAAAACAAACTAATTTTTTACCTCCAAAGAAATACTTTTCCCCTGTTTTAACTTGAAGGGGACTGTTAGTTCGAACTGCTGATGCTTCATCACCATCAATGGTGAGAACAGCAAAATTTTCCTTGGCTAGGAAACGAACTTCATGCCATTGTCCATCGTTTAGGCCAGAACCTAGCAGCAAAATGAAAGAAAAAGAAAATTTATATTTTAAGATATTTTGTTAAGAAAATACTTTCTTAGTTACCATTTTGTTAAAGTATATATTCAGTAACTTATTTTCTAATAAAACATGATGGTTGAGATTTTTAAGCTTTCATATGCATATGTACTTCATATTTTGTTTGCATTTGTTGAGGGTAACAAAGAGTACAATGATAATAGTAAAATTTAGAAAAAAAAGAGATATCTTTACTTAGAAAGTTATATAGTGTTTTTTAAATAGAAAAACCTAGACCCAAAGTGAAAAAAACAGAAAAAAATACAGAAAATGAAAACTAGTATGCTTTCATCTGCATTCAAATTCCATCAGTTCTTTCTCTGTGTGTGGATAGCATTTTTCATCATGAGTCCTTCGGAATTATCTTGGATAACTGAATTGTTGAGAACAGCTAAGTCATTCACAAGTGATCATTATACAATATTGCTATTACTATATACAGTGTTCTTGATTCTGCTCACTTCACTTTGCATTAATTAGTTCATATAAGTCTTTCCAGGTTTTTCTAAAATCCTGCTCATCATTTCTTATATGACAGTAATATTCCCTTATAATCATATACTCAGCAGTTCCACAATTGAAAAGCATTCTTTTAATTTCCAATTCTTTTCCACCACAAAGAGTTATAAATATTTTTGTACAAATGGGTCCTTCCCCACCCCCAACACACACCACCCCTTTTCTCTCTTTGGGATATAGACCTAGTAGTGGCATTGCTAGGTCAAAGGGTATATAGTTTTATAGCCTTTTGGACATAGTTCCAAATTGCTCTCCAGAATGGTTGGATAAGTTCACAACTCCACCAACATTGCATTAATGTTCCAGTTTTTCCACATCCCCTTCAATATTTATTATTTTCCTTTTCTGTCATATTAGCCAATCTGATAGGTGTGAAGTGGTACATCAGAGTTGTTTTAATTTACATTTCTCTAATCAATAGTGATTGAGAGTATTTTAAAAGTGGATGTTAAAGTTAAAAACCTTGATTCTGCTAAATCTATATTTTAGGCAGTATTTAGCATATATAATATAAATGAAACCTTCAGGGTGAATGAGAGTATAAGTAAAACAGAAATGAACTTTGAGGAAAAATGCTCTTGAGCTTAGAAGACAAAGATTAGTGAAATGTCAACACAATATTTACTGACATTACAATGACATATGAATAAAATTAATAACAATGGATGTATTTTGTCATTTAAACATGTACTCATGTAATAAATCAGAATTCTAAGTCCTTATAGTTTGTTTCCTTTATAACGGTATGTCTTTATTATTATTATTATAATCATTAGTTTTCTTTATTTCCTTTATTATTAAATCAGAAATATTAAATGAAGGGGAAACAAATATTTCTAGTAAATAGACCATTTTATTTTTCTATCAATAACCTCTATCAGTCATTACTTAATAACCTCAGGTTGCATGTTGACAAATATTCTCAAGGTACTAGATTGAAAGAAAATATCTAAAACTGTTTTTTAAAACATGTTACATTTTTAAGAATCAAATTCTGTGTAATTGAACAAAAAAATGAGGAACTAGTGAGGACATCTAGATATAAGAGAAAAGCCTTAACAACAACACAAAACCTGGTAGAAGCATGATGTGTTTGTTTGTAATAGCTGGTAGGAAAGCATGGATGGTGATTAACCAGAGGTCAGTAAAGCATTTGCCAAGTGGCAATGGAAGCCCAGTTGAAGACAAGGTGAAATAAGTTCTTTAGGGATTATGTGTGCATGGTTCTTTATCTTCCTTCTAAGAAATTATCAATTGTAGCCTGGAGGACTTGTTGAAGTGAAAGTGATAAAATGGCAGGAGAGACCAGTGAGGGAAAAGAGTAGATTTCATAGCTGTGTGACCCTGGGCAAGTCATTTAACCCCAATTGCCTAAAAAAAAGGAAAAAAAAAGAAAAAAAAGAGTAGGCTTCATGAGTAAAAAGTTGACAATGGATAAAATAAATTCAAAGAATAATAATAGTTTACTTTTAATATTATAAGAGCTTTTTATTTATTTATGTAATTTTGTGTTCCTTGCAGGGCCCAAAATTAAATCACTTTCATCAGTTAATGAACAAGAGTTTATTAAGTACTTACTCTACACCAGACACAGTGCTAAGAAGTGAACATATAAAGAAAAGTAAATGAAACAAACAAACAAACAAAAAGATTGAACAAGTAGCATTATTTCCATTTTATATCTGCTAAAACGGAGAGTCAAGGAGGATACTCAAATTGTCCATGGTCAACTGGACAAAAAGTACTGGATTTGGAACTCAAATCAGCAACTTCTGATCCCAAATCTATGAGGAGGTATGATATAGTGTAGAAGCCTGCACCTGGAATACTTTTTTGTTAAGTGTTTTAACGGGCACAGAATTCTAATTATGAGATTCCACGATTATCTTTGTGCATTAGTTTTAAACTTCTATACCAGCAAAAATAGTCTCTTATTACGTGGGAAAACACTACTGTTTACCAAAGGGCTGCCTTCTAAAGACTTTAACTTTTAAACCATAAAGGAAATGAAACTTTCTTTTTCCTTTCAGATAAAATGTGATTTAATTTTGGGCCCTGCCAGGAACACAAAATTCTACCTTATAGATAGCCACACAATCTCCTCGGAAGGGAAAGATCCTGAAATATCATTCTATGAAATGAAATTATTGCACAAGACTAGTTACAAAAAAACAGCCCTGTAGAGTAGGCCCCAAGGATCATATTGTAATGAAACTCCAGTCTTAAACTTTAATACCCATATAATATGATATAATGCTTCTGGCAGGATTTTTAAAGTCATCTCCAACAGTTGGAGTCTTTCTATATTAAATATCAGTTAACAGAAAACATTACCTAAAATATTTAAAAAGAAACCATTGTTTGCAACAAAACAAAATTTATATTCAGAGTCTTGTTCTGAACAAAAAAGAGATCTATTTCTGTAAAAAAAAATGATTATGATAAAATCTACCTAATTTTTATTTTAGGTAGCATGGTAACAAAATAAATTAAATGACAAGTAATCATATAAAAAATATGATACAACTGAAGTATGGTATAGTGAGACATTATATTGAGAAAGCAGAACACCATAAACATCAGAGCTCTACCACTTTCTGGGACAGCCAGGTGGTGCAGTGGATAGAGCATACAGACTGGAGTCAGAAAGACCTGAGTTTTTATCTGGCCTCAGACACTTATTAGCTATGTGACCCTGGGAAAGTCACTTAACCTTGCTTGCCTCAGTTTCCTCACCTGTAAAATGATCTAGAGAAGGAAATGGTCATCTATTGCAATATTGTTGCCAAGAAAACTCCAAATGGAGTCAGAAGAGTCAGACAGGACTGAACAACAACAATAACAACAAAACCACTTTCCAGCTGTTTGAACATGGATACTTTACTAAGACTCTCTTCATTTCAGGTATTCCATCTATAAAATAGGGATAAAACAATTTCTATATTGTATGTACAACTATTATACCATAGTTTGCATTTTTGAATTATTCTATTTTTATATTCAAGTTTTATTTTAATATTTTAAAATTAATCCAAAAAGAGTACTGTATTTAGAGTTAAAGGCCCTAGGCAAGAATCTGGTCTTTCTCGCTTATTACCTGTGTGATCTCAAAGAAGTTCATTTATCCTGAGGCTCACTTTGCTTATCTGTAAAATGAAGGGGAGTACACTACATGATTTTAACATTTTAGTGCAGCTCTATATCTAAGATTTTATCAAAACTTTTAGGTCATTGAATCAAGTAAAGCAACAGGAGTCAAAACTTAATGAATTTAAATGTAAAAAATTATCCAATCGTTTTAAAAACCACTTTAGCAGCTTCAAAATCCACTTCTTTGAGGTGTTGTTTCTAAACCAATTACTTTATTGTACTAGAAAACAATACAACATTTAAGGGTAATCTATCTTCATGATTTCTAGGCCATGTCAGTTGGCATTATTCTCCTCTATACAAGAAATACATGAATAGGCAGCGTGGTACAAAGCAAAAATTATTGGAATTGAGAGAAGAGACCTGGGTCCCAGTCCCAGTTAGGAGCCATGTAACTAGGTAGGTTACCTAATGCCTCTTAGTCTAATTTTTCTTAGTGAAAAATAGGGACACAAGTAATAAAAACAGGTAATATTTATTTACAGCTTTAAAGGGCTGGAAAGTGCTTCTCTCATTTGATTTCAATTGTATACTCGTCTCCTCACCTCAAATGGTTGTTATGAATATGTTTTCATAAAACTGAAAGGGTAGTTATATAATCTGGATGTGTGATTTCACTGGCTTAGAGATCTCTGTTCTGCACCTTCTTTTCTTCTCCTTCTATATTATTGTACTTGGTTACCTGATGAGATTTCATGGACTCCGTAATCATTTCTTTATTGAGGATTCTCAAATCTACCTATCCAGCCGTAACCTCACAGCTGATCTTGAATCTTGCATCTCCAGCTGCCTGTTAGGTATCTCAAAGTGGATATCCTGTACATAGCTTAAGATTTTCAAAAATGAGCTCATTATCTTTCTCCCCAAAACTCTCCCTTCTTTCTAACCTCCCTATTACTTTTGAGGGTACCACTATCTTTCTAGCCACCTAGGCTTGCAACTTTGGTATCAACTCAACTTCTTATTCACACCTTCTATCCCCATATCCAACTTGTTGTCAAGGCCTATCAATTGAAGCTTCATCATATCACTCATATGTAACCAATTCTCTTCTCTTACTGCACTGCTACTATAGTATGGGCACTCATCACTTAATGCTTGGACTATGCCAATATCCTGGCTTCCCTGGGGCGGGGGGGAAGTCTCTCCTCACTGCACACCATGCTTTACTTATATATGAAAAAGTAATTTTCCTAAGTGTAGGTTTGACCGTGTCACTCCCCTCCCACCACTCAGCAAATTCCAGTAGCTCTCAGATCAAATATAAAATCCTCATTCAAAACAT